TAATAATAATAATAATAATAATAATAATGAAAACTAAGAATAATAATTATGTTAAGAAAACATTTGGACCGTTAGTTACACTTGCCTATTTGTATCCATCTTTAAAATGGATGGTTTATACCTTTGGACCGCATATTGTAGCAATGTTGTCCAGCCGGCATGAAACAATTTTCTTTTTGCAAAACTTGATTTCCGTATAAGCAACAACTATGAATGAAAAAAAATGAAGGAGAGCTTTATCTTTTAGGACGTTCTTAATCTATGCTTATAAGAGGAGGAAATTTGGTTAGGCCTTGGGCTGGGCCAGCCCTTGACAAAGCCAAACCTGGGTCCCAATAGGGTTGGCTGGTTTTGGCCTACTTGGGCCTTGTCCTCGATGAAAGGGGCCTATCCCTCTCCAGGCGTGGGCACGACCTAATAGATTAGAAAAAGAAAAAAAAAAAAAGGTTTGATAGGGCTGCAGTTCTATTAAAATAAATAAAGCCTCACCTCATAACTCATCGAAAATTGTAATAAAGCCTCACCTCAAAACTCATCGAAAATTGTAATTCAAGTGTTGGAAAGCCTCGAAATCGATCATCTCATCTTGAACACTATGGTTGTGAAAAAAAATTACGATTTCAAATTTAGTGTATATTGCAACAAATCATCTAGACCGTCCATCTTATCTAAAAATAGGTGTTCACGGATCTAAAAGATCGCTACCATTTTTTGAGTTTCAAATTTTTCTGCCAGTTTTGAAAATTGATTTTAGAGTCATCATGGGGATTTTCAATGCGGAAAGTGCTTTACAAGTGAGGATTTGAAGTGATGTTTTTTTTTGTTTTAATAAAATCTAAGCCCTATAAAAAACTTGATCCTTAAAAAATACAAAAAAAAAACAAAGAATTTTTTTTTAAAAAATAAAGGGTTGGTCCAACCGTAGCCCTGGCCCACCGTCGAGGTCATAAGTTGGATCCTTGGTTCTATTTTCCGGGGCCGAGCTGGTCGCGTGACCCATTACCAACCCTAAATAATTAGATACTTCTTGTAACGATATTTTTATATCACGCAAGGCGACAGATACCCAGTTTTACGTGTATTAATACAATGGGTAATGTCAGTGCACAAACCCCCGCTTGCTCAGCATGAGCATGAATAAAAAAAAAAAGTTATTAAGAATAGTAATAGTAATAATAATAATAATAATAATAATAATAATAATAATAATAAATAATAATAATAATAATAATAATAATAATAATAATAATAATAATAATAATAATAATAATAATAATAATAATAATAATAATAATAATAATAATAATAATAATAATAATAATAATAATAATAATAATAATAATAAATAATAATAAAATAATAATAATAATAATAATAAT